GAAGCCCGAGGCAGAGTTGCTCTGCCCCAGGCTTCCTGGAATCAGCGCTCATCAGTTTCAGCAGCAGCTGACTTGGGGAAGCTTGGGGTTCTTAAGTTGAATCTGTATGTAAGTCGGAACTGGTGTCCAGACTGATCAGTTTCAGCAGCGGCTGAATCTGGACGCCAGTTCCGACTTACATACAGATTCAACTTAAGAACAAACCTACAGTCCCTATCTTGTACGTAACCCGGGGACTGCCTGTACTGGTACTGGCTTACTTAAGCAATGCACAATCCCAAGTGTAGACACTCTTAAAATTGTTTATAAGCAGCTTATACTGATTGAATTTACACCTTAAGCCAGGGGTTCTCAAACTCTGTGATACCGTGACCCCTCTCTAAGTTGCTCGTGATCCCCCACGGGGTTAAGACCCACAGTTTGAGAAATGCTGCCCGAAGCCACTAAAGAATCATTTTAAGTGACACAATCCATTTGTAAACTAAGGATGTAAGTGACTAGTTGACTACCCAATCAGCATATCCTTATATGGTAGTCAAGCAGTGACATGACTAATTGCTCCCCACACACACACACACACACACACACCTCTACCAGAAGGAGACAGCAAAGGGGGGGGGCAAGGGGGAGCAGGAGCTAGCTTAAAAGTCAGTTCCCCCAGCACCATCTCCAGAGGAGCAGGGGAAGCAGAGGAATAGAGGCTGACCTGGCACAAGCAGGGAATCAGCTGTCCTTGGTTGCTCCCGGTCCCCCCTGCTGCACAGCTGCTTTTTAAATGTATTAAGAGCCTGGCAGTTCCCCCCTAATTGACTAATCGAGTAGTTATTGGAAATTCCATCAACTACTCAAATAGCTGATTACCTGCAAGTTAACATTCCTATTCTAAACCAATTTAAGGTTGTTCACACAAAGGATTGCACCAATTTAAGTTAACCATTACAAATTTGTCTACACAAAAACTTGCCCAACGTTTTAGTGACAATAAGATCATGTCTATATTGGGGAATTATACACAAAAATTCCTCAGTAGTTCTACCACTAATTCAGATAGAAAACTAGGGATGTTAGATAGCATGTAACTGAAGAGTCATGTAATCACATCAAATTTTAGTGGTTACAAGACTATTTAATAGTCCCGAGAAGTGGAGCTAGCAGCCAGTGCGCTTCCAGGGAGTCCCCTGCCATCCTGCACTGCTGCCTCTTTATCAGAGGCAGCAGCACGGGTTGGCAGGTGGAAGCCAGTCTAAAAACGACGTAAATAAACATAGGCCCAAACTAGAGAAACACAAGACCAGAAACCGAAGAACCAGAAAAAGGGATCAGAGGGGCAACAACTATCCTAGAAAATGGCCCAGACTGCAGTCACTTGGACTTACTTACAAATTCTATCTTGTCTGTTATTGATCTGACACAAATATACATACAACAATGGCATTAATTGTCTGAAATAGTGTATAAATAAGGGCCGAAACTGACTCAGCCTAAACTGGGTGGACTCATGATTCTGTTTCCCAGCCTTTACCCCTAACAGAGAACATGCAGTTTTTGCATTTATAATATATTGGCATAACACATTTCTGATTCAAGTTTTGAGAAGCATTACAAATTTGAAAAATAAAATGAATACATCCCACCCCCAATGAATATGACCATTTATTTCTGGGTTATACCTTTTCAGACATTTCTGCTTGAAGCTGTTCCTCTATTTCTTTTCGATATTCAGTGAGTTTCACTTCTAAAGACTCAGACTTCTGATGCTGCGGATAAATGTCTGCAAACTGTTCATCAATCAGCTGAAGTTTCTCAACTATAACAGAATACAGGCAGTCCCCGGGTTACGTACAAGATAGGGACTGTAAGTTTGTTCTTAAGTTGAATTTGTATGTAAGTCGGAACTGGTACATATTGTAGGGGAAACTCTAGCCAAACATTTCTCCAGAGCTCAGTTTTATTCTCCCACACCTCACTTCCCTCAGTCCTTTATTCTCAAGCTGAAGTGTCTGCTGAGAAAAGCCGCTCCGGGGGGGGGGAAGGGGGCGCGCTAGCTTCGCGTTTCCCTGGTCTGCTGGGGGGAAGCAGCTACTGTGGGGTTGCCTCACCCCGTTTGTAAGTAGGGATCTGATGTAAGTCGGATCCATGTAACCCGGGGACTGCCTGTAATGTAATGTACCATCACACAAAAATATTACATTTAATAACACTCTTGCTCCTATCCAAAATTTTAGGGATCCTAGTAGGTTTTCACTACCGATGCCTAGCTTCTACTGTAAAGCTATCATGGAAGCAGTGAAAAGAAATGGTCACTCAAGACTGAAAAATGTACACCTACAACAACATAATTGGAAACAACACAGTTAGGTACTTCACATTATGGCATGTGATCCAACTCAGAACACTGGAGGTGATATTTAAATTAAACAAACAGTATAGCTGGGTAGGATCTCTCACTGGTCTCCAAATGAACGTGTGCACCTGAGGGGAGCTGGATAAGATGAGATAAGGGAGCTTGAAAAACAAATGGCACATACGTCCGGCCCTGCAACTGCTGCACATTACCCCTCAAAATAGAATCTCATCAACTACTATGGCAGACATGAAGCTGTGATTTCAAAGAAAAGATGTCTGCTAATTTTATTGTATAACTAATTTCAATAGCCATGTATTCCAATGAACAAATCTACTAGACCACTTTTAGTAATGCAATTACAAGTGTATTCAATTTCTGTTGTATACAGGCAGTCCCCGAGTTACGCGGATCCGACTTATGTCAGATCCGCAGTTACGAACGGGGCACTTCCTCTCCCTGGTCTCCAGCAGACCAGGGAGAGGAAGCAAAGCGGCGGAACGCGCGGCCAGCTGACAGCCCAGACGCGTCTGGGCTGTCAGCTGGCCGCGCGTTCCGCCGCTCTGTTCTGCTCTGCTCCCCCTCCCCCTGGTCTGCAGGGGGAGGGGGAGCAGAGCAGAACAGAGCGGCGGAACGCGCGGCCAGCTGACAGCCCAGACGCGTCTGGGCTGTCAGCTGGCCGCGCGTTCCGCCGCTCTGTTCTGCTCTGCTCCCCCTCCCCCTGGTCTGCAGACCTGGGGGACGGGGAGCAGAGCAGAGCAAAGCCGCGGAGCCCGAGGGCAGCAGGATAGCCACGGCGTGTCTGGGCTGTCCCGCTGCCCCCGTGCTCCGCGGCTTTGCTCCGGACACCTGTGGTACAGCAGCTGGGGCGCTGCCGGTTGGTCCCGTAGCGCCGCTCTGGGCGCCACTGGACCAACCCAGCAGCACCCCAGCTGCTCTGCCCCAGGTGTCCCCAAGTCAGCCGCTGCTGAAACTGACCAGTGACTGACTACAGGAAGCCCCTGCCCCGGGCTTCCTGGAATCAGCCGCTGATCAGTTTCAGCAGCAGCTGACTTGGGGATGCCTGGGGTTCTTAAGTTCAATCTGTATGTAAGTCAGAACTGGCGTCCAGATTCAACTTAAGAACAAACCTACAGTCCCTCTCTTGTACGTAACCCGGGGACTGCCTGTACTATATAATGTTTAGCATTGGAAGCAATTAATTATAATTATGAATGGTTCTTGTCCAACAAAAATTTTTAAGATCTCATAAAATATGTTCTACATAATAGCAAAACTGAGATCTTTAGATATTTTTACAAAGAAACAAGATTTATACATACACATCAGAATAGCTAACAGCCCAGCGGTTAGGACGTTTAGATGAAACGTCAAAGATGCAGGGGCTCACATGTGAGTACTTTTACTACTGAGTTATAGACTATTCTGAAATGGGTCTCTTGTTTTGGCAGATATTCCATCCTGGATCTGAAGGAAAGTTTCTTTAAAAATGATATGCTCCTGTAAAAAGTTTCACTTTCAATTAACTGGTATTTCCACCAGCCCTCAAAAAACAAAAAATGTTCAAAAATCTTGCAAACAAATCTAATTACGAATGTTCTTAAACTGAATAGTTAGGCATATGCGATTTGAGGCACATAATATTGAAAATAATACATATAGGATAGACACAGGGATTTGTTTCAGAATTAGTATACACAGGAAAGGATTTGAACTGAAGATCCAAAACACAGAACTTTTGTCGTCTCACTTTCCCTGGTTTATTTTAGAATACCAGAGAGGAATGCATTCTAGTGTCTATTATTACTTCAGGCATGGTGAAATGCTAAATGGATACAGTATTGAGCTGAGGAAAATAGTTTATGAAAGGTCCATTTACCAAGAGATTCTCTATAAGGTGGTATTGAGTTTGTCTGAGTTTCTGTGTCGCGCCTCTCCTTATAAAGATGATGCTCTGTCAACTCCATTAGCATCTGTATAAGAAAACCTTAGAAATACAGTATGTTACTTATTTTTCTCTTCCACAACAAAATGAATTTTTGAAGGCAAAGAAAACTTTTACTACACAAAGAAAAAAAACTAAATAGTGAGGATAAAATCATCATCAAAGAACACAAGAAATCGTTTAATAAAAATCAACGTAAAAACTCTTAATTATATTAATACTAAAGATGCAGGAGTAAATTAGTAAAATTAGTAAATTAGTAAATTTACAATTAGTAAAAAAGCTCACCTTGAACATTCCTGCCACTTTTGCCACCAAACCCACTAAGAGTATGTCTGCACTATGGGATAAGGTAGAATTACGATATGCAACTTCAGCTACATTAACTGTGTAGATGAAGTCAAAGTACCTTAACTTGACTTTTGGCACTGTACACACTGCAGGAAGTCAAAGGGAGAACACTCTCCCTTCGACTTCCCTTATTCCTCGTCGAAGCAGGACTACCAGCATCAATCGGACCGCTGCTCTCAGTTCGAATTAGCATGTCTTCATTAGATTAGCTAATTCGAACCCTGAAAGATTGACAGCAGCAGCTTCAATCTTCTCGGTAGTGTAGACATACACTAAAGGAGCAGATTAAAATTACCACTAATACCTAAAATCAACAAGAGCTACAGGTTTTTGGTGTTTCTGAGGAAAAAAAAAGCCACTTTTGTTTAGGCACCTAAATATAGATTTGTGGACTATATAAGACAAAGAAAAATTAAATGAAAATTTGTCTTGGTGCTAGCCCAAGCAGACTATATGAATTCAAGGGAGTAAAAAATAAAACACAGCATCTGAATTCCCCAGCATTACAATATTTAAAAATATTATAGTCTCTGGAAGTTTTACATGTATCAGAATGTAAATGTTAAATTTGTTATTTGTAATACAGGAATTTGTAATTGTTTTGCTTGGAGTTGAACATTAATATGTCATATACGCCACAAATTAGGAAAACCCCACCAGGCGCATAAGACACTATCCTAATTAATGATAAATTACCTTCAAAAATCAAACATTTAATCAAATGTATTCAATACCTAGGTATAGTCAAAGTAAGTTTCAATTGCTTATTTGTTATAAACTAAACTATCAAGGAAAAAGGGGACTTATTAAGGGAAATAGATGACTCATTATATGCTTCGTATGTAAATGTCATACCTTTTTTGTTCTCTTTTTTAGCTCCTGAAGTCTAGAAGGAAAAAAAGACTAGATTATTACTCTGCATATTCAATCATAAATTATACCTGAAATAAGAGTTACAGAATCAAAAACATTACCAATGATTTGTAAAGACTGGATTTTGGACTGATCCTAATTAGCTGTAGAAGATCTTGCAGAGTAAACACCTTTTTAAAAAGAGAAGGCAAAAAAAGTAAAAATGTAAAGAACATTACAAGTAATTCTTCTCTATTGTGGTAGAGAGATCAACCTTGGATGTGCTCCACTTGAGACAGATTTGATCTACCACTTCATAAATACAAAAACCAAGGTGGAACAGGGCTCCTCTCTGTGAACTACATGTCAGTCAGGGATATCTCTTGGGATATAATGCCAAATTCCACACCTCAAGATCATTCCAATGAAGGCTTGTCAATGTAAAAGACTATCTCCCAGTTATCCGTTTGAATCAAAGCTATCTTTTGAAATACAGACTTTCAGAACACTCACCATCTCTGGAACACTTGTAGTGTCAATGAAGACATTGCAGACTAACTATCCTAAGTGTAGAACCCTTTTATCTGGGCACTCAAAAGCTGTGATTTGGACTAGGAGTTTCAAACTAATATGCAATTCAGAAGCCTTGAAACAATTAGGTAAACCTTTGGTTCTTCCTTTGCACAAATGGAGAATTTTAAAAATGATATTGGAAGGATCAGTTAACAAATGTGAAATCCTGTATGAATATCATCTCACATATGCCCTGTATAGTAGATTATAGAGCTCACCTTCTCCTTTTCTAATCCACTTTCTGGATAAAAAACAGAAAGTGAATATTCATAGCCACAACTGCGCAGGTGATCTGCCACCAGGCTATTGGAAGCTCCAATTAACAACGAACTGCCTTCACTGGACACTGGTTGTGGTTTAAGTTCTCCACTTAAAATTGGATGCATCAATTCATGGATTAGCTGGTTTCGGAGTTGCGTCTGGTGAAAACAGAAATAGAAAATGCTGGAAATATTTGGTTTCCTAAAGCCACACAGATTCAGCATATTAAATTAAAAAGTATGATGTAAAGAAACAAAATAAGCAAACAAATTCTAATTTAAGGCTAGCTTTTAAAGAATTTGGAAAATGGCTCACAACTCCGTGTCTATCCTCAATAATGTCTAGGTGGTCTTTAATTTCCACTCCAATAATTATTAGACATGGGGCTAAAATAAACTGTTTATTCTCTTCCAAAAGACATACTCTTCTATCATCCTCAAACCTCTGCAAAGATGCAATTTAAGTTTTAAAACTAAATTTAATTGCTTTTCTCATCTTACCTTCTCTTCCTGCTACTACCTCAGGGTACATCCATACTACAGTATAAGCATTTGTTGTAACTGCTATATTGCAGCTAAGCTGCTGTAGTTTAGACAATCACTAAAGCAACAGACATGTTTTTTCCATCACTGTAGTAAATCTATCCCCCCCCCCCC